AAGAGTTCCAGAATGAAACCGAATTACCATTTGTAGGCATTTGTAGGCATCTTGTCATAGTTAAAAGAATGAGTCAAATTGTGATTACAAAAAAATTCAGAAATGTGAATGGGAAGAAATTTCGAATCTTTTTACAAATTGACTAGTATTGAAGAATGACTACTATTATATGACTAAATAACTAATTGTATTTGTTTATGTGTATAAGTGTATTGAAAATATTTCATTAATAAAAATAAAAATTTATCCTTATAAAAAAAAAAATTGAAATTTACTTAAATTTCGTATGGAAAGAATGAAGTTCATTAGTAACAAAATTTTTGTCCTTATTTCATTTTTAATGTAGAAAAAAATTCATATACACTCATTCATATATACATATATACATTCTAATACAATGTTAGTAATTTATGAAGGTAATATCGAGATAACACAAAAGTTTAAAATTTTCTATTATAATATTTCCTAATAATTGCCCACATAACGAAAATTCAAAGTTTATTCTTCAAAAATTCTGAAAATTTCAATGATAAATTTTTAATTAGTATTAATTAAGTACTTCCATAGTGCATATTTACAGTAAAATCTTATAACAATCTCTTACTGGGAGATAATTTTATCGTAACAATTTTGAAAATTCTTTAAAAAATCTGAGAGCATTTCCAATCCAAAGGGATGCTGTCCTGAGTAGTCATTAATTTTCTTTTCATTTTACATTGAACTGTTCATAGAATGAACCATCCTGTACTTACATACATGATATCTCTTAATTTACTTTAATCTACTTAAGAATAATATAAAATTGTAAATGTAAAATATTTATATTATTATTTGTGGAAATAAAATAACTTTAATTTGTAATACGATATTCTCTTTTATTAAATATGTAAATTTAATTTTAGGCTTCTAATACAATAGATGAATAGAGTGTATTACTTTACATTAATTTCCAGTAATTTTATATATATATATATGTATAGGTTTAGTTATATATAAAATATTTATAGTATTTTACTTATGTTCCTTAATTACTGAATAAATTTTTAAATTGATTTAAATAAATAATTTCCATTCTATTCTCATATAAAATCGTTGTCATTTTACCCATTCTTATAAAATTTTAAACAATGTGAATGTGATTTCAATTAAAATTTTTGATTGGCAGATTTCTTTTTGTTTTGTTTTATGTAGCTTGAAAAACCTTTTAGAATTTTAAGTATAAAATAATATAAAATTTCTATTTATAGTTAAATAATTTAATTAAAATTAATGTAATTAAATTTTCAGATTCAACTTTAATTAAGAGAATTGGAAGTATGAGAAATAAATTTTGAAATTTTGAATACTTTTATTTTATAATGAAATTTTTGATATATTCGGAAATGTTAATTAAATAATTTTAATTATTGAAGATTTTAAAAATGTGGTACACAGTAATAAAATATTAATTTTTACTGATTTTGTAAGGGAAAAATTTTGTAAGAGAAAATTATTTTAAAAACTGCTCAAATTGCCGTGACTGTCCTGAACTTTTTTATTAACAAATTCGCATTTATAAGCAAATTTTATTTTCAATGATCTTCAGTTAAAATAAATTTTTAATTTAAATTTTTTAAATTAAATTTAATAATTTTAATATTTTTTTTGCATTTCAGGTAAGTTACTTCAATTGCCTCTTCAATTTAAGGAAAGTCAACCTCAGTACTACAATGTAAATTACCTTAAAAAGGTATAGTACATAATAATATATTCCGGTATTAAATAAATTCTAAGGAAGACAACACAGTGAAAATCAATTTTTCCTATTCGCTTTTGGACTCTTAATTCTTACCCTTAATTATTTACCAAAGGTAATATATTTTTTACATTCTCTCACTATATTATAATTGTTAATAAATTTTCAACTTCAGCCACCAAACTGGAATTTCCTCCTTCCATTTTATATGAAAGTTTAAAAATAAATTTTCATATCTTAATTAGAAATGAAAAACAAAAATTTGTTAATTTAAAATTTGATAAAACTATTTACAAACAAGTAAAAACGTTTCAGTCGGTATAAACCGATTGAATTATACCCTGCACCTTTCGTTATTGTGTAGCAATTACTTGAACCTCTAAAATCATTCTATAGAAACTTCACGGACATGTCTGACCTATAATTGGACATCCGACTGCCAAGTTTCATAAATCTGACTTTATTATTTTTCCAAATATTTAAAATAAGCATTTGGAGTTGTATGGCAAGTACCCGAACCTGTCAAGCAATTTCACTAAAACTTCACAAATATATCTGATCTATTATCGGACACATAACTGCCAAGTTCCAAGAATCTGACTTTATTATTTTTCCAAATATGTAAAATAAGCTTTTGGAGTTTTATGGCAAGTACCTGAACCTGTCAAGCAATTCCATCAAAACTTCACAAATATATCTGATCTATTATCGGACACACAACTGCCAAGTTTCATGAATCTGACTTTATTATTTTTCCAAATATTAAGAATAAGCTTTTAGACTTGCATGGGAGCTACTCGAACCTGCCAAGAAATCGCACCAAAACTTTAGAAATATGTCGGACCTATAATTGGACACACGACTGCCAAGTCTCATGAATTTGACTTTATTATTTTTCCAAATATTTAAAATAAGCTTTTAGACTTGTATGGGAGCTACTCGAACCTGTCGAGCAATTCCACCAAAACTTCAGAAATATATTTGAGCCATAATTGGACACATGATTGCCAAGTTTCATGAATCTGACTTTATTATTTTTCCAAATATTTAAAATTAGCTTCTGGAGTTGTATGGCAGGTACCCGAACCTGTCAAGCAATTCCTCTAAAACTTCAGAAATATATTTGACCTATAATTGGACACATGACTGCCAAGTTTCATGAATCTGACTTTATTAGCTTGCCGAATATAAAAAATTTGCTGTTGAAGTTGTATGGCAGCCACCCGAACCGGTGCAGCTATCCCATTATAATTTTTAGAGCATGTGTAGAATATAATTGGACACATGTATACAAAATTTTATATTTATACCTTTATTAGTTTTTGAAATATTTAAAATAAACTCTTTGAGTTGTATGGCAGCTACCCGAACCCGTTGTCCGAATTAGTCCAATAACAATAGGGCTCGTCCTTGGCACAAAAGAAAAAACTTGTGAAAGTTTGGTGTCGATTGCATTATTCGTTTTTGAGTTATCGTGCGATCGGACGGACGGACGGACGGACGGACGGACGGACGGACGGACGGACGGACGGACGGACGGACGGACGGACGGACAGACGGACATGTCTAAATCGACTCAGAATTTTACGCTGAGCAAGAATATATATATATGTCCATACCGCAGATGACTCCTTCAAGTAGTTACAAACTCCATACCAAAGTTAATATACCCTTCACGAAGTGCAGGGTATAAAAAAACCAATTACATTTAGTGATGATTTTTTTTTGCTGTATTAAGAGTGAAGAAAATTTATTTCTTTATTATTTAATTAGCCAATATTGGCAAAATGTCCACAATATGTGGTTAACTGTTTTTTTATACCCGTACGAACGTATGTTCGAAGGGTATACTAAATTTGCCTTACCGTTTGTAACGCTAAGAAATAACGGTGTTAGATATAGACTCAAGTGTATGTTTTTGATCAGCGTCAAATTCTGAGTTGATTTAGCTTTGTCTGTCCGTCCGTCCGTCCGTCCGTCCGTCCGTCCGTCCGTCCGTCCGTCCGTCCGTCCGTCCGTCCGTCCGTCCGTCCGAACGATAACTCAAAAACTAATTGAGCTAAGTTCACCAAATTTTCACAAATGATTTATTGTAGTAAGTGCCAGAACCCTATTTAAATTGGACATGATCGGGGTACCGGTTCGGGTAGCTGCCATACAACTTCAAAATTTATTTGGCTATATCTCAGAAACTATAAAAGTTGTGGTATTGAAATTTCACACAAACGAATATATTAGTAGGGCCAATATGTCTAATAAAAGTTGTTGAAATTACTTGGCTCCTTCTGGTACCTGCCATACAACTTCAAAAGTTATTTGACTATATCTCAGAAACTATAAAAGCTATGGCATTGAAATTTCACACAAACGAATATTTTAATAGGGCCAATGTGCCTGATGAAAGTCGTTGAAATTACTTGGCTTCTTCTGGTACCTGCCATACAACTTCAAAAGTTTTTTGACTGTATTTCAGAAACTATTAAAGCTATAGTATTGAAATTTCACACAAACCAATATATTAGTAGGGCCAATATGTCTCGTAAAAATCGTTGAAATTACTTGGCTCCTTCTGGTACCTGCCATACAACTTCAAAAGTTATTTGACTATATCTCAGAAACTATAAAAGCTGTGATATTGAGATTTCACACAAGTGAATATATTAGTAGGGCCGATGTGCTTGATAAAATTCGCTAAAATTTCTTAGCTCTTTCTGGTAGCTGCCATACAACTTCAATAGTAGTTTGGCACAACCAGTATTTTGAAAAACACATAGTACTGAAACTTTGCATAAATTAATATGGTAATACGGCAACTTAAAGTCATAGTCTGCCCCATAGTTAGTTATGGCACATTAGTTATTCGCACATAGGATAACAAATTCGTACGGGTATCACAGAGTTGACAAAGTCAACTCTACTTTTTTTCTCGTTTTTAAATAAAATATATATGACATAAATTAAATTCCCTAAAGGTATAAATAAAAATATTTTGTATACAAAATACTCTTATACTTAATAATTTTTAAAAATATTTATAAAAACATGATAGCCTTACCACCCACACGAGTGGAATTTAATGCACTAATTATGGAATTTATTAGAATTTTGAAATTATTATTAAATTGGGAATTGTCTTTGGTAAAAATACAATACTATTACAAACATGTTTATGAACATTTGATGGCACGATTTAAGTTCTGTATGTGATTTCTTACGCCGCTTGTAATAAATTTTAATTTCACTCAATAATTGCAAATTATTAAATATGGGAAATATGTGTAATATGGGTAATGTGGGTAATATGGGTAATATGGGTAAAATGGGTAAAAGGAAAATTTCGCTTTTCCCACTTTTATTTGTTTTTTTATTAAAAATTTTAATTAAAAATTCTTCTTAAAATAATATTTTTAAGTAAAATGTTTAATTTTAATTTAATGAAGTGTTGGTTAAAGTACGAATACATAAGGTTTAATGAATTTAAATAAAAATTAAAATAAAAAATCCACCAACCGTCATCGCACTATACAATGCATGAAATGCTTTACACTTATGCGCAAGTATATATATGTATGTACATGCATATGTATATATACTTGTATTTTCAGCAAATCCACAAATAATAGACTACAGAACATGGGATTGAAGAGCAATGTTATAATAATAAAAGAAATAAAAAATTAAAATCTCAATCCATTCAAACTTGTGATTGTGTTGAGTTTTATTTCCTGAATTTTAAATAATTCTCTTTTTTTTTTTTTGCTCACCATAATCAAAAAACAACAAAAAAAAAATAAATAAATAAAATGTGAGAAATGATTGGCACGTGATAATTTTCATTGAGATTCTCTCAATGATGATAGTGAATGGGTAGTATATATGATAATGATTATAATGATAATAATAATGTTTACGATTTTGAAGGCAGCACTTGTGATAATAATAAATTAATTTTTATAATGTACAAACTCAGTAGTAAAGATTACAATGATGATAGAAGAGAAATTATTACGATGATAGCAATAAAAAATTTTCCTGTCCACCTGTTCAGATATTTTTAATGTTTGGATTGTTTTTTCTGCTGGAATCTTAAATACAATAACAGCAATAGTATATAATTTTTTTAACATATAATAATAGTAATTAAATTAACAAATACAGTTATTCACAAAAGTAAAGTGCAAGAATCATTAATAAAAATATTAAAACTATTATACATATTTTTATGAATGTCAATTCATTCGTTTAAAAAATTTTACCACTGGGACGAATTTATTATACATTTTCAATAAGTGAAAAATTACTCAAAGAGAATTTTCAAAAAAAAATATTCGAAAATATTATTCTAACCACTGTCGTTATCCAAGTGGTATTTGAAATTAATTAAAATACTGTGCGATCATTTCCGAGAAGTGTCCTACACTTGACACATTTTACTTTTTCAATATTTTAAATTTATTTATTCTTTGTTAAATATTTTCTTCTCTTTGCATTTTTTTTTTCCTTTTTATTTGTAAAATGCATACAATATAAAAATGATATGTGAACAGACAATATAAAAATGGTGGTAATATTGTTGACACATCAAAGAAAAAAAAGAATTTTAATTTTGTTTTTAAAATAAAATAATTGGGCTTAATATTTGATTTAATTGGGATTTTCGCGTATATATTGTGAATTTAATCATTATAATGTGTAATATAATTTAAGTTGAATTGGAAATGAATTTAATTTGGCCAGAGATAAAAGTAATTTTACGAACAATTTATTATACATTTGCTTAATAATCATTTCAATTGTTTTAATCATTTAACAGTCATCTTTGTTATATTGAATATTACTTGAAAATTTTTGCATATTTTTAATTAAATTTTATGAACAAGATTTCTGTTATTTGTCAATCTGTTGAGAGTTGGTTGGAAGCATGAGTTTAAATTTAATTTAATTGCATATCCTTATGTTACTGGATGAAAAATTTTAAATGTTAATCTATGAACTCCCTCGGAGTGCGTTAGTCCAGGTACTTCGTTCCCTTCTTTTGGTTCAGACTTCATTATTTTTATTCAGAATTTTATAATATTTGAATTAATTAAATTATTAAAATAGAATTTTAATATTCTTGTAATAAAACTATAAAATTTTATTTTGATCGTAAATATTTTTAACTGTTTTCAAATGATAAGCTATATTTGTATACATAAACTCTTGTTTTACCTAAATTTTTTAACAATATTTCCCAAAAATTCTTATCATCTTTTAAAAAATTTCATATTTTGCATATTTTGAAATTTACAAATTCCTTAATATTTCCAATTTATTTTTAAATTAACACTTCCTAATTAATATGACTAAAATAAAAAAACAAAAGACAATTAATTCGTAATTCATTCAAACAATTGAAATAAATCATAAAAGGCGTAAAATTTAAAAGTATAAAACAAATATTTTTAAAAAGTTGAATTTCTTTATTTATTTAACGACATCATTTCAAAATTTAATTGATCCACATTATTCAATATAAATAAATTTTATATCTATGTATGCCAATTGTCACATAATAAAATTTAATTAATTAATTTAAAATAAAAAAAATATGAGAGAGAAAGAGAAATAAAAAATCCACACAAGAATTACTAAAATAAATTAAAAAATTTTTCATTTTATTTTTATGGAATTTTTACAATAAAAATTCTAGTGTTTTTTCCTTATTTGTGAAGTGTTTGGTTGTACAAAAAAAAAAAAAAGAAAAAACAAACCATAAACAACCTGAAAATTTTCAAACTTGTAAAAATATTTAAAACAATTTAATGAATTTTTTATGGCATTTTAAAGAAAAACTAAAAAACACAAAAAAAAAAAATTAATATAGGTTGGTAGATGGCGCCCATTCTAATTTTTCTACTGGTTTTTTTTTCTACTTTTTTGTTTTTGCTTTTCTGACCATTCATTTTCTTATATGCACTTTACCTACTTGCGATTGTTGTAAACCAATGCATTTTGCAAAAATAATGACTTTCAAAAAAAAAACAAAATACATAACAACATTTTAAGAAAAAAATGTCCTCTCCAACTTCCACTACTATACTTAACAATCACACTTGACAATAATTATTATGCGAAAATGAATATAGAACCACTTTAAATTCAAAATCAAGTGTTACCGTTCCAATTCAACATTTTTTAATTGCAAATACTTTGTACTGGTTTACAATAAGATCGTGTGCTATTATGTCAAGTATTTAAAAGAAAAAAAAAAAATGATTTTATACGTGTAGTTTTCGAATATTTAAATTTTACATTTTAAGAAAATATTTATTTTGACAAGTCTTCATTTAAAAAGTGTTCTTCTGAAATATCTATAAATATGTGTAGGTAGTACATTTAAAAACTTTGATTTCGTTTAATTAGACAGGCGAATTTGCACGAACTAATTTATTTTTGAATAAAATAAATTCGATCTAATTCGATTTGTTCTCGAATTTACTATTGTAACATTTGTAACATACGTATATCGGTGAAATACTATGTTATAACAGTTATAGAAATTGTTTTAAAATCTTATAACAGTTATATGAGCTGTTATGCTAATATATAATGCTTACAGAAACTTTTATACCATTGTATAACTGTAACATAAACTGTTATATAGTTGTATAACAGTTATGGAAACTGTTATACAAGTGTATAAAAGCTCTGAAAACTGATATGTAATTGTTATAATCCTTTTAAGTTAAGTGTTATACTGTTATACGATTTCTAAGTCTTATACTGCCATAGCAATAAAAGATTTTAAAAAATTTTATATATTAATTTTATTTAATTTTGATTTAATTTAAATAATATGCATTAGAGTTTTCTCAATTTTTCTAGTTACACATATGTATATTTTATTTCTATTCACGCGACAACTCTAAGCAGTTAGATTTTTATAATTAATTTTTTCAATATTCGTTATGTTTTTAAAATAAGTAGTATTTTTTTTTTTTCGGGGACTATAGGAATTTTTGCAAAGGAAGTGGTTGCAGACAAAATTCTATCTATAGCCTTCATATTTGAACCAAAATACCACATCAACAACAACATAATATTTTGATTTGACTTTTTAATTTTCCATCGATTTTATGATTAAATATATTCTTATGTAATGTACGCACTGAACTAACTTTCTGCTAGTATAAATATACCCTACTTACTATATATATGTCCACATTATATTTATACTAAGTAACGAGGTCAATTATTAAATAACATTCATAATAAAAACATAAGCACTCTTTTAAAATGTTAAAAGTATAAATCTTTTAATATATGATATATAAGACAAAAAATTTAAAACAACACAAATTTCGCTTTTTGCCTTTTGGCAAAAATGCAAAAAAAAGAAAAACCAAATCAGAAACTTTGTCTACCACTTAACCATGTGCATAAATGCATAAATAATGTATTTGACGATCTTAAACCTGTACTTACATATGGATACAATGAGAGATTTTGTTGAGCAGTTGCTTTCCAATATTTTAATTTTTTAATTTTTTTTTGATTGGGATGTGTGTGGGATTCACTCAATTTTTTTTCCATAAATATATTATACAACAGTTGCACTATAAAAAATTATGAAATTTTAAAATGCTAAGGAATTAAATTCGTTGGCTTGGTTTGGTTTGGTTTGATTTTTTTTCATATGATCATATATGAAATTCTCATCGACTTGTTTTATTTTTATATTGCATCACAATTATCAATTTATTACATAAATGAATTACATAAGTACGTATACATATTTATTTGCATATTTGCAATTTAAGTATAACAGTACTTGTGCTGTGGTGTATATGAAACAATTTGTTATTTAAACAATATTACTAAAGGTGTTTACATATTTTTTTATTTTGATTTTTGTTTTTTTTGCTTCTCTTTATCAGTACAAATTGTAATAGTTTTCTTTAATTGGGCTTTGAGGGTATAAAAAGTAGTCTCGGTTTGGTAAACTGAAAAAAAAAAATGCTATTATTTCATTTTGGTCATTGAACTTTTTTTTAAATTTCTTTTAATAAACTGTACAAATTGTATTTTTAAATGAATGTAAATGCAAAAGTTTAAGAGCATCGCAAAATTTTACACGATTAAATAAAAGATTGTGATTTTCTAATGGAAATCAATGCAAACCAGAAATCGTATCAATGAGGATTATTTAGATTTATTATACTCGTACTTAGATTTTATTATTGGATTAATAGATTTACTATATCGAATAGAATTGTTTCGGCTGGCTCTATAAATCACAATAAATGAGGTGAAAAGAAATTTTGCATAATTCATAAGAACA